CCAAACACAACATGTCTCAGCATACAGGTGAGGTGTAGTGGCTGACCAATAAACAGCAATGAGCAGAGGAAGCAGAGTATTAGAGAAAGCAGCAGCAGGAAGCTCAGTTCAGAATTGTTGGCTCTTACAACCGGAGTGTTCCTGTAGTAAATGAACACAGATAAAACTCCAGCTGAAATAAATGCCCCAAACACTGAGACTGTTGTTAAGGAGATTCCCATTATTTCCTCATATGACAGAAACTCGATTTCCTTCAGCACACACTGGTCTCTGCTTGGGTTTGACCAGTAATCCGGTGGACATCTGAAACACTCAGTGGAATCTGAAAAAATATTTTATTACAGTTATAAATAAATAGGAGATGAAAAATAAGACACTTTGCTTTATTCATTTGTTTATTCTGTTAACTAAAATGTTCCTTGCCCAAAATAGGCAGAGGTAATTCAAAACAAGAATTGCAAAACAAAAAGTAGATAAAACAGAAAAAAAACATAAACATACAGTATGAGGTACTTTTGGACTTATATAATGCTGAAAGTAAAAAAAAATAAAATCTATGTAATACATTTTTAGAAACACATACTGTAAATTAAGTGTAAGTTACAAACGAAAAAGCAAAGCCCACCTGTGTGGTTGCTGATCTCTCCCTCTGCACAAGGCACACAGTCGAAACAGCAGAGGGGCTCCCCTTTCCTGGTTGCCTTCCTGGTGCCAGGCTGACAGCTTTCACTGCACACAGACCTGGGGGGCTAAAAAAAGCATCATATTCAGATGAAGATGTGTAAATTAAGAAAGGAGTCTTGCTACACTGGCAATTTTTTTGTGTCCAGTTAATGCAATGAATTATTTTTTGGGGTATTTTAAAAGTATATATTTTACACAAACTATGAACACTGTTACAGTATACAGAAATACACTTATTAAACATTAAACAAAATGAGAATGAATTTTGAATTTCTCACAGTGTATTGTACAATAATCCAACTTAGTGGCAGAATACAATTGAAATTTTAGTTTTTTTAATTATTAATTTGTAACTTATTATTACAAATAATAATAATAACAAAAATTCTTATTCTTATAATATAGATTCTCTCTATGTAGTTCTTCATGAAGTTGGGAAACACTAATGTGAAAATGGATCTGTTAAATACAGAATGGAATGTGAATTAATTTTTCTATTTTCCAAACATTAAAAAAAAATTCCTATTTGCAGGGCAGAATACAATTTGAATGTCATTAATGAGGTCCATGTTGATAAAATAATTGGCATAAATAGCTAATTCTTGAAATGACAATTTGGATGAACTTACGCTGTTGTGTTCAAAGTTCCAGAAGATTTTGTCCTCATTCAGAGTGAGCTGTTGTCCAGCAGGAGCTGATTCATCATACAGACCGATTGTTACTGTTTTCACAGACCCGTCATCGGCCCTCTGCCAGTTGATCACATCATAGATTGCAAGAGCATCTCCGTTCTCATCGAAGGACACCCTGTCTCCATAGTGAGTCGTGAAGTTCACTCTCGCCAGGTAGTGCAGCAGCTGAGAAAAGTAAAATGAATAAATCTGAATCCTTAATCTACAGTTAAGGAGGTCTCTGAAAATAATGATTTTTTACTGATACCTGTAGTGCAAATGTACAGTACAGTACCTGTCTATGTATTGTTTATTGGATTGTTTTTATTGCTGTTTTAAAAATGTAATAAAACAAATTACATAAGCAATGAGTAGAGCAAAAAAGGTAAGAAAGGGGTTTTAAATGAATATGTGCTACAGCTGAATGATGAATCAAATAATATACTCTATTATGAAGAACAAGGTTAGAACATATTTTACATCATAAAGAATTTTGAAGCAAAGCAGAATGTACAGTACTATGTAAGAAAATAAGAAAAGACTAGGATAATGAAATTAGTCTCCCACCTGCCAGGGCTGCACAGTTGTGACGTCTGCACAGGAGTTATTCTGAAAGGGCCCTTTTCCAGGCTCACAGGACATCAGGTTGTGCAGGGAGTGTGCCAAGGCGTACACTGCTTTATACACGTTGTAGGATCCCCTAAGATCTGAAACATCACTGTATGAAGTCTCTGTACTGTCAATGTCTTCATATCCTGTGCAGATTTTGCTCCCATTGTTAGATGAATTAAGATTTTTTAAATTCACAAATTTACAGTCAAACAAGCTTTCCCAAAACAAGTTGACAAAATTATTTTTGGGGTCAGACACTGGGTGAACCTGAAGGAGAAATTCTTTAAGCCCTGGGATTTCTCCCCTGTGGATAGCAATTCCCATTGTCCCTCCAAATGAGTGGAAGTTTTCCTCACTGCGTATTACAGCGGAGCCACTCCAGCCTTCACTTGCAATCCACTGCCTGTTAGTTATGTTCTGGAAAACAATCTCTTCAACTAAAGGAACAAAATATGCTCCTGTGGAGAATACGACAATAACCCTCACTGAGGACCGTTTAATAATCTGCATGATTTGAAGTACTCTAGGCTTTGAATGCACTCTAGGGAGGGTTTCTGAGAAACCTATACAGCCAAACTTATTTACCTCCTCAATAAAGCTCTTGATAGCACTCTGACCATAGTCATCATCACTTGCTATGACACCAACCCAGGTCCATCCATAGTGCCTGAGGATTTGAACCATGGCTTTGACTTGAAAGGCATCACTTGGAATTGTCCTGAAGAATGAAGGGAACTCTTTTCTGTTGCTCAGGCAAGAACAAGTAGCATAATAGCTGACCTGAAAAACACATACAAACACAATGTAAGAGACATGATGGGTTCAAAATTTTCAAAAACATTATTAAAAATAGAGATCACAAATCAGTTACTTTTCTCTAGTTACATATGAATTCTATCATTGTACAACCTATTTCTAAGGCAGAGAAAAAAGTACTATTCCAACAAAACAAACTTGATATGTCAAAAGCCTTAATTTAAATGGCCAGACTAATATGTAAAATGATGTTGGCTATCTTGATTTTCATTCACTTTTTAGGGCACTTTATTGTGAGAATATTTTGACAGTTTGTGATTGATCTAGCAATAAATATAATGTTTTATAATATTCTGCATTCATTTTTTAGAATAAAATTCCTTCTGATTGCTATTAGAAAGATAGAATTGACAATATTTGATTTATACATATATGTCTTTATTACGCTGTAATCAGCATTATTGTTACCATCGGGACCCTGAAGAGGCCCAGTATTCTTGATATGGCAATAGAATGTGTAGAACTAGGGTCCCCAACAATGGCTAAGACAGGGGGAGTCCCTGTACAGCTGTAGTCAGTGACAGAATCATCCTCTCCGCTGATCAGAGCTGTTGCAGCCTGAAGAGCCACTGCCAGGTTCACACAGTTGTCATACAGCCTGTATCCCAGTGTGATGTTAGGGAGAAGAGCAGGGTCTCTGTTTATTTCCTCAATAGCAAAAGCCATGGTCTGTGCCTCTTGAAAAACGGGCAAAGAATATCTGGGAGAAGACAGACAATAACGCAACACATTTTTAAATCAGTGGATTCTGCTATTTTAAAAAAAAGTTGCTCAAAAAAAAATAATCTGCTCAATTTAACTGTCTCCTGGTTACGTTTTACTGGAAGCTTGCATGCCTCTTTGTGATGATGTACAGTACATTGGATAGCAATGATGTTCAAAGATATCTCTACACACTCACCTTCCACATCTCAGCTGCTCTGGTTTCGAAGTGAAATGCAGTTCTGGGAAGGTTACTCTTATATGTGCTTCAAATATTCCTCCAAAAAGGATATCTCCATTTTTATACAGCCCATTCAAATCAAATTGACCTTGAACCTTGCAGATGGGCTGTTTCAAAGTGAGAATTGGAAGACTTAAGATAAGTAAATGAAAAACACGCTGAATGATTTGCATGGCTGCTGAAAACACACATTAAACTAGAGTTATGTTAAGAAACCCTTTGCTATATAGACAATATCCAGGTCCTTAGAGAGTGCCTTGCTAAATATTTTTTAAAATGATGCTTGGTCATATCCCATAGCTAAATAATAAATCAGGTATACGTATTTTCACCAAATCAATTAGAAAGGCATGCAAAAAAAATGTTCCCATAGGTCAGTTACATCATTTATAGGATCTAGCTAACAGTAATTATGCGATGATCCTGCAAGACTTAGCTCATTTACTTCTTTAAAGTTGTTATTATATAATGCAAGTTACCTTTAACATTTCTTAGAAAGCATTTCAGAGCCGATTTAACACATGATAATAATGGAAATGTCTGCTGCTCATATCTCAAACCACTGTACCTGATGCATGTAGTATTATTTTTCCTTTTACTGTTTTTTTTCAAGTTGATTTTTCAAATTCAAATTGAACTATATATTTAAATATTATTAAGAATATATGCAACTTGTGGTAAAAGAGTGTACATTTCATTATACCATTGTGAGGCAAGAAACCAATGCGTTTCAAAATCTGTTTCTCACTGTATCATTTTGAAATCGATGAACTGAATTAAAATGAAACTATTTTTGACACATTTAAGTGTTTACAGCTATTAACAAGCTTTATTTCAGAAAAAAAACATAGACGTTTTATAATTTAATATAATGCTAATTAAAAAATGTAATCTGATTTGAGCAGAAAGGTGTGTGTGCTTCTTCATCAGATGCTGTTCACTCAGAGCAGCCAGACTGCAGTGAGAGTGACTGTAGTGAAGCACTGAGGTGCTCTGGCTTCAGGAGAGCACAGTCCTCAGGGGTTCAGTCATCCAGGCCCAGCAGTGAGGTACAGGGAAAGGAGGAAAACAGAGGAAAATCATGTGGAAGGTGTATTGGTGAGATCCCCACCAAAAGCAAGAGACAGGTTAGACAATCTCTCCTTCACAGTTCACTTCTGAACTGAGTTTTCTGTAAATTTATTGACAAATGACAAGTAGAACCATTTCCTTAAATTGTAATTTCCAAATGAATACCACAAGGTAAATAAATAGGTGGTATCTGCCAAAAGGGAAATTTTAGAAGAAAGTTCAGTCTTTAAACAGACATAACCTGTCCACTTTCTTATGAAGGACATTTAAGTATGTTGAAACAGATTGTGGATGATCTTGAGAGGTTAGTCATAGTCAGTCAAGTGACTGCTATGAATTTATTGTGTTTTGACTCCAACATTTTGATTACATTAAATTAGTGCAATGTTTCCAGGTGATGACAAGCTCTTGACACAATGTGTGCACATTTTTCTTAAACTGTGATAAATGATAATAAGAATTCCTTACACTTATATAGTGCTTTTCTGGACACTCCATTCAAAGTGCTTTACAGGCAATGGGAATCCCCTCCACCACCACCAGTGTGCAGCCCCACCTGGATGATGCGACGGCAGCCAAACTGCACCAGTCCGCTCCCCACACACCAGCTCTCAGTTGGGAGGAGAGCAGAGTAGTGAAGCCAGTTCACAGATGGGGATTATTAGGAGGCCATGACTGGTGAAGACCAGGGGGGAATATTTGGACAGGACATCAGGGTTAACAACCCTACTGTTTTCAAGGAGCATCCTGGGATTTTCGATGACCACAGAGAGTCAGGACAGTTTTACATCTCATTCAAAGGAGCGTGCCTTTTTTTCAGTATAGTGTTCCCTTCACTATACTGGGGCATTAGGACCCACACAGACCACAGGGTGAGCGCCCCCCTACTGGTCCCACTAACACCTCTGCAAGCAGCAGCCTTAGTGTCACGCCCTCTGCAGCCAGAGGGCGCTCCTTCTCTGTCCTGTCCCTAGTTTCCTGCCTGCTGTCCTTCTTGTCCCTCTCTTTCCCTTGGGCTATATATTTTAGGGTCTTGCACTCTGCCCTCGCTCAGTATTGACGTTCGGATGTCCTGAGACCCGCCTAGCACCAGGTCGCCCCACATCCGCTACCTGAGGGCATAGGTTTCTAAACGGCACTCCTGAACTCTTTGCACTAACCCGGGCCTTTTTCCCGTTCCGCCGCTACGCATATGGGTCTTTTTCCACTCTCCTGCTCTCCACGGTTAGTCCCTTTGGACGTCCGTGACACTTAGCTTTCCCAGGAGTCTCCCATCCAGGTACTGGCCAGGCTCACACCTGCTGAGCTTCAGTGGGCTGCCAGGGTGATATAGCTGCTGACTATAGTGATGGTGATAAATGTTGAGTTGTATTGCTGTTATTTAGTTTATTTAACACCAGCTGAAGTGAAAGTAGAGTAACACATTTCTATCAATATATTTAATATATAATAGAAATTTTGATTTTGTACGATTGAGAGAGATTCAAAATGTTTTTGCTTTTCATTTCCATTAAGAATAAGTTTACAGCATTCAGAAAGCAATTTTATTATTACTAGTAGAAGAGTAGCAGCTACAGATAACAGGAAGTTAACATCTTGCATCAATGATCATTATTTTATAAAACAGACATTAAAGCATCATTCTGAAGCCAATGAAACTATAAAACCAACAATAAATAAAGATAATTTATATATTCATTTTTTAAGGCCTGGTTTTCCCAGAAGAGCCTTTTTGGTATTTTTCTCTGGATGAAGCAGAATGATGTAACATTTTGGAGCAAATATTGCAATAAGGAGACCAAAGCTTGAAGCCAAGATGGCAAAAATCTCCACAGCGTCTGAGTATTTCCCAGGAGAGCTGACATAAGCTGGTATGAAAGCGATCCAAACTGCACAGAAGATGAGCATGCTGAAAGTGATGAACTTGGCTTCATTGAAATTATCAGGCAGGTTCCTTGCAAGGAAAGCCAGCACAAAGCAGACACTGGCTAGTAAGCCTATGTACCCCAGCAGGAAACTAAATCCAGTTATTGAGCCAATGTTACACTCAAAAATTATTTTTGAGTTTAGATGCTGTGTGTTTTTAAAAGGCACAGGTGATGCTGTACTCAGCCATATGATACAGATCAGAGCCTGGATTACAGTAAAGACAAAAACAGTGCCTCTCTGTTGTGCAGCACCAAACCACTTCATAACATTATTGTCTGGCAGTGTGGCTCTGAAGGCCATGATGACAACAATGGTTTTCACAAGAATGCAAGATATGCACAAGACAAAACTGATCCCAAACACAACATGTCTCAGCATACAGGTGAGGTGTAGTGGCTGACCAATAAACAGCAATGAGCAGAGGAAGCAGAGTATTAGAGAAAGCAGCAACAGGAAGCTCAGTTCAGAATTGTTGGCTCTTACAACTGGGGTGTTCCTGTAGTGAATAAAAATAGCTAAAACAGTGGCTGAAATACACCCCCCACACACTGAGACTGTTGTCAAAGAGATTCCCAAAGTTTCGTCATGTGAAAGAAACTCAATTTCCTTTGGGACACACTGGTCTCTCCTGGTGTTTGACCAGTAATCAGGTTGACATTTGAAACACTCAATGGAATCTACAAAAAGAAAGAAATACATAATCTCTCCAATACTGAGATTATATGCTATAGGAAACTATCCAGATACATCAGGGCTTAATTTAAAAATATTTTTCTACTTAAATCTAAGGGAAGAGTTACTTTATTTCAGTTATACAGTATTAGAAAAATGCAAACAACAATGAAACTGAGACATTGCTTTCAATTTTAGTTGTTCTTTCTTTTGAAATATATTATTCAATATATACTTTTTAAAGAGGGAGCTTTTACTGCTTTTCCAGAGGATGCCTCTCAAGAAATTAGAAAGAAAACAAGTCTAAACAGAATTGACCTAAATCAAAGCAGCAGACAAAGCAGAAAACATGTTTTGCGAGATTGAACTCTTAAGATTTGCACTCCTCATGGTAATTATCCTATAGGATAAATAAGCCTAAGAAATACATAAAAATAAGTATTGGTTATATCTGAATGAGCAATGCTTCCCACCTGTGTGGTTGCTGATCTCTCCCTCTGCACAAGGCACACAGTCGAAACAGCAGAGGGGCTCCCCTTTCCTGGTTGCCTTCCAGGTACCAGGCTGACAGCTTTCACTGCACACAGACCTGGGAGGCTAACAGAAACAACAGTGTATTTTCATTTAAGATGTGAGAATTTTTGTTTTTTTAATTATTTATTTGTAACTTATTATTACAAATAATAACAACAACAACAATACAAATAATACAGGTCAGAATACAATTTGAATGTCATTAATGAGGTCCATATTGATCAAATATAAAATGAAATAATTGGCTCAAATAGCTAATTCTTTTGAAACGACAATTTGGATGAACTTACGCTGTTGTGTTCAAAGTTCCAGAAGATTTTGTCCTCATTCAGAGTGAGCTGTTGTCCAGCAGGAGCTGATTCATCATACAGACCGATTGTTACTGTTTTCACAGACCCGTCATCGGCCCTCTGCCAGTTCATCACATCATAGATTGCAAGAGCATCTCCGTTCTCATCGAAGGACACCCTGTCTCCATAGTGAGTCGTGAAGTTCACTCTCGCGAGGTAGTGCAGCAGCTTAACAGAAATAATATATGTGGTGAATGAATTTAAATCAAACAACTAAGCACAACAGACTCTTTGAAAATGTTATTTATTTCTGTCAGTTCCCTTTCATTGTTATTTTTTTAGTAGCAATGGTACAGTAGTATAGAAGCTGAGAGAAAAAAAATATCTGAAGTAAATGTGAATGTAAATGTGAATCAAGCATTTAAGCCCAACTTCTGATTTTTACAGTGAGAAAATATGTATATTCATTTTCTCATTATTTTTAATGGTATTTTATCTCAACGTACTCAAATTAAAATAAAATTATACATTAGAGCAGAATATGTAAAAAGGCTGTTTTAATTTTTTATCTAGTGCAGCCCATTGATAGAAAAATAAATCATATCTTACATCTTGGGAGAAATATTAACATGATAGTTGATGAATACTAAAAAGAGTAAAATGCATCTCACCTGCCAGGGCTGCACAGTTGTGATGTCTGCACAGGAGTTATTCTGAAAGGGCCCTTTTCCAGGCTCACAGGACATCAGATTGTGCAGGGAGTGTGCCAAGGCGTACACTGCTTTATACACGTTGTAGGAAACCCGTAGTTCTGAAACATCACTGTACGAAGTCTCTGTACTGTCAATGTCTTCATATCCTGTGCAGATTTTGCTCCCATTTGGAGATGAAGAATTATCATTTTTTAAATTCCCAAATCCGCAGTCAAACAGGCTTTCCCAGAACAGGTTGACAAAATCATTTTCAGACACTGGGTGAACCTGAAGAAGAAATGTTTTCAGCCCTGGGATTTCTCCCCTGCGGATTGCAATTCCTATTGTCCCACCGAAGGATTGGAAGTTTTCCTCACTGCGTATTACAGTGGAGGTAGTCCAGGCTTCGCTGGCGATCCACTGCCTGCTAGTGAGGTTCTGTTTAACTATTTCTTCAGCCAAAGGAATAAAGTTTGCTCCTTGTGAGAACACAACAATAACTCTCGCAGTGGAGTCTTTAATAGTTCTCATGATTTGCAGCATTCTGTCTTTTGAAATGACACTGGGGAGAGTTTCTGAAAAAGATATACAGCCAAACATGTTTACCTCCTCAATAAAGCTCTTGACAGCACTCTGACCATAGTCATCATCACTTGCTATGACACCAACCCAGGTCCATCCATAGTGCCTGATAATTTGAACCATGGCTTTGACTTGAAAGGCATCACTTGGAATTGTCCTGAAGAATGAAGGGAACTCTTTTCTGTTGCTCAGGCAAG